CAACCTCTGTCTCTCTCTGGTCAAATTTAAATAAATAAATAAATGAATAAATAAATAAAAATAAAATAATTATTTAAAAAAAAAGTCTGTGAGTTCCAGGAACCAGCAGGTGGCATGGTGATTAAGGCGCTGGACACTCCCACATGGCCGACCAGGGTTCAAGTCCTGGATCTGGTGGCTTGCTTTCTCACTTCCTCTCTCTCTCACTCTCAACCTCTGTCTCTCTCTGGTCAAATTTAAATAAATAAATAAATGAATAAATAAATAAAAATAAAATAATTATTTAAAAAAAAAGTCTGTGAGTTCCAGGAACCAGCAGGTGGCATGGTGATTAAGGCGCTGGACACTCCCACATGGCCGACCAGGGTTCAAGTCCTGGATCTGGTGGCTTGCTTTCTCACTTCCTCTCTCTCTCACTCTCAACCTCTGTCTCTCTCTGGTCAAATTTAAATAAATAAATAAATGAATAAATAAATAAAAATAAAATAATTATTTAAAAAAAAAGTCTGTGAGTTCCAGGAACCAGCAGGTGGCATGGTGATTAAGGCGCTGGACACTCCCACATGGCCGACCAGGGTTCAAGTCCTGGATCTGGTGGCTTGCTTTCTCACTTCCTCTCTCTCTCACTCTCAACCTCTGTCTCTCTCTGGTCAAATTTAAATAAATAAATAAATGAATAAATAAATAAAAATAAAATAATTATTTAAAAAAAAAGTCTGTGAGTTCCAGGAACCAGCAGGTGGCATGGTGATTAAGGCGCTGGACACTCCCACATGGCCGACCAGGGTTCAAGTCCTGGATCTGGTGGCTTGCTTTCTCACTTCCTCTCTCTCTCACTCTCAACCTCTGTCTCTCTCTGGTCAAATTTAAATAAATAAATAAATGAATAAATAAATAAAAATAAAATAATTATTTAAAAAAAAAGTCTGTGAGTTCCAGGAACCAGCAGGTGGCATGGTGATTAAGGCGCTGGACACTCCCACATGGCCGACCAGGGTTCAAGTCCTGGATCTGGTGGCTTGCTTTCTCACTTCCTCTCTCTCTCACTCTCAACCTCTGTCTCTCTCTGGTCAAATTTAAATAAATAAATAAATAAATGAATAAATAAATAAAAATAAAATAATTATTTAAAAAAAAAAGTCTGTGAGTTCCAACAGATGCAACACCCCTCAACGTGGCCCAACATGAAAACGTGTTCCCAAGTCTTCGCCTTAGTAATGATGAGCCATGTCCTGCTTTCTCGATTGTGCAGTACGCGGAATATGTTAACACAGCTGTCAAATTTAGTCTCTCAGACTTCTATTAGAAATACGGGAAAAGAGTTCCACTGAGGTACACTGAAACTTGTTTGCACTACAAGGGAGCACACAAATCCAGAGGTGGAATACCCGACAGGACCACTGACCCAGTCAATTACATAAGGAAAAGGGAGAGGGAAGGGATCTGGTTCTAGATTGAGACGAAAAAGATATGACAACCAGGGGCTGGCAGGTGCGTGGTAGTTGGGGGGGCTCGACTCCCACATGGCCAACCACAGTTCAAGTCCGGGACCTGGCAGCTTGCTTTCTCACTTTCTCTCTTTGTCTCACTTTGTCCCTCTCTGGTCAAATTTAAATAAATAAATAAATAAATGGATAAAGTTAAATAAAATAATTTTTTAACAACAACAACAAAAAAAAATACAACCACCAGATGTACTAAGTAGACCTCATACAGATTCCAATTAGAACAAATTTACTGACCAAAGACATTCTTGACCTTCAGGGCAATTTGATTTTGCCTGGATAACAGGTGGTACCAAGGAATCTTGGCTTTTTTTGCTAGGTGTGATAATGGCATTGTGGTTTATACAAGATTACCATATTTCCTAAAGGTGCTAACTAGACGATGTAGGGGAGAAATGACATGCTGTCTGGAATTTGCTTTTAAATACTTTAAGCAAAGAAAAAGGAAACAATGGCTTATATAAAGCAACGGAGACAAAACTTGGTAACTGTTACAGTTGGGCAGTCATATATTTAAACTTTTTCATGTTTAAAAAATATGTAAAGAAATTAAAGTGGGCCAGTCCACGGCCTAGTGTTTGGGGTAGCTGGATCCCACACGGTCAACCATGTGGTTTGAGTAACAGACCCAGCAGCTTAGAACACATGCCAGGCACAAAATCCAGAAAGGAGAGAAAGATGGAGGACAACAGATTGTGGCATGGCTGTGCCCCATGGGGAGTGCTTTCTCTCTCAGTCTCTCTGTGAGCACATGTGCTCTCTGGTACAATAACATAACATAGAATAAAATAATGAAACACGAAACTAAAAATTGTTAATAGAATGTAAAATATTCTAAATCTATATTGGAAATAATGTATGAAAACCCACAGCTCTGTCTCTTCCTTTGACAAAACTCTAAGTAACAGAAGTTCTAGTGTTAAGGCCTTCGATCCTGTGGCAGTCATAGAGTGTAGGTGCCTCTTCTCTCTTCTCACCTCTCTGCACGCTGCATGCACTCAGGGCAAACTGACCACACCTGCCTCTGCCAGCCAACAGAACCAGCCTGAACTGGCTTCAGAGAGCTCTGCCTCCTCATTGTGTCCCATAGGGTTCCTCAGGTCTGCAGCAAGGGTGGACTCGGGGCTCAAGAGGTGCTTGCTTGTTGCAACACAGGGTGATACTCCGGCCTCTGAAGTGAAGTATGTTATTAGAAGATTCCTGTTAAAGCCCACTTCCATAATGCTTCAAGGGACTACCACATGCTTTTAGATGGATATATCTAGTCTTTCAGTCTGCATGATAACCTCATTAAGTACCTTCCTGAATTCCTTCAAAGAACACTGTTACTGCAATGACAGGTTGTGTGCTTGATATTTCTTTTCGGTCCCGTCAGTCAGACAGGGAGTAAGAAGAGTTCATTCTTGGATAATACCCAGGCAGCTTCTAGCTTAATTGGCTGTAGAGCTTCATGCAGGGGTCACAACACGCAAATGATGAAAGAAAATGTCTCTCAGTTTCTCTCTAACTCAGGAAGTCCAATGGCGGCTTAGTGAGTCGGTCACTGTGACAGTGAGTCTTTGTGCTGCCGTTCCTTGCTGGAAGCCCCGGACGAGGCATGTCCTCTTACATTCCAACTGAAAAGTAAAGATAACATATACCAAGATAGCTCTCCTAATTTTTGTGACTTTTATCATCTAAGTAACTATGTAGCAACAGCAGCTAAAACTCAAATCCACTTTAGCTCTCTTAGAACTGGTAAGGTTAAAAACCATTATATGCAGAGCTCATGATTCTTTTTTTCCACCTTACAACTATTCTCCAACAGGATGCATTTGTGAAGCCACTGTAACCACTTAATTTCTAGGTTATAAAATGTATGGATATTCTCTTACCCTAATTTCTAGTCTTTAAGAATGTCAGCTTAATTTCTAGGTTATAAAATGTATGGAATAAAATGTATGGATATTCCCTTACCCTAATTTCTAGTCTTTAAGAATGTCATTTCTAGGAGCCAGCAGCTGGCGTGGTGGTAAGGATGCTGAATTCCCACATGGCTGATCATAGTTCGAGTCTCAGACCTGGTAGCTTGCTTTCTCACTTTCTCTCTCTCTCTTAGTCCCTCTCTGGTGAAATTAAAATAAACAAGTAAATAAAGTTAAATAAAATCATTCTTTAAAAAAAAAAAAAAAAGAATGTCATCTCCATGTAGCAAGCAGGTGGTGTAGTGATTAAGGCACGGGACTTGCACGTGGCCAGCTGCAATTTGAGTCCCCAACCTGGCAGCTTGAAAATCACACCAGGTGTATGTGCATGAGTGCCCAAAATCCCAAGAGGAGAATGGAAGAGAAGGGGCTACGGTATGGACCTCCCTCCTGGGGGGGGATGAGGGTTCTCACTTTCTGTCTGTCTCTCCAGCAAGCACATGTGCCCTATAAATAAAATCTCTTAAGTCATTTCTGAGGCTAGCCAGTTGACATGATAGTTAGAACAGCTGATCCCACATGGCTAACTGCATGGTTCAAGTCCTGGGCATGGTACCTTGAAAACTATGCTAGGCTACATGTGCATGCATGCCCAGAGTCCTGAGAGGAGAATAGAGAAGGGACTATGGCCATCTCCCCTTGGGGGGATGCTTCCTCACTTTCTCTCTCTCTGCCTCTCTCTGGCGAGTATATGTACTCTGTAACAAAAAGGGAAGAAAAAAAAATGCCCTTTCTGGTCAGGTCCTGTGACACATGGATTAGGCACTGTACAGATTTTAGATCCCTCATGGTCAACCAGATTCAAATCCTGGCCTGTCAGTTTCGCCCCAAGCTTGTGAACGCATGTACTGGGATAAAGAACTGGAGGAAAAAGGACTGTAGGTCCCACCTGGTGCCCAATCACTCTCCCTCTCATGTTTATCGAGGTCCCACCTGGGGTGTGCCCAATCACTCTCCCTCTCATGTTTATCGTAAATAAAAATAAACATTTTTCCTTTTTTTTTTTTTTGAGAGGTTTATGCCTGAGGGCACATGCACTCACAGGACCAAGAGAGAGACAGAGACAATAAGAGGAAAAGTGAGAAGTCACCTCACCCCCACCATGTGAGAGTCCAGTGATATAATCACTACCCCATCTGCTGGACCCCAAAATAAATAAACGTTTTAAAAAGGAATGCCATTTCTCCTTTTTAATTTATATATATTTTTAGAGATTTTTTTTTTTTAATAGGGCACCTGTGTTTACAAGAGAGACAAAAAGCAAGAAATAACCCCCTGGGGAAATACCCATGCCACAATCTCTTCCCCTCCACTCTCCTCTCAGGATTTTGGGCGTGCACACACATGCGCTCAGCAGGAGTTTCAAGCCAGTGGGTCCAGAACTCAAACCACAGTTGGCCACATGGGAATCAGCACCTCAACCACTATGCCACCTGCTGGCCCCCTTTTGACATATAATTAACATAATTAATTACCTGGGTTAATTTACGTTGTGTATGTGATTAGATATAATGAAAGAAATATCTCAGGCTCAAGTTTAAATCATTTTATATTTAAGCATTGATTTGACAAAATGTAGTATGAAGACAAGCTAGATTTACAACTTAATGTGTTCACGTAAATTGCCTTCAAAATACATTGCAACTAAGAGGTGTACACGATTTACATGCATTTTTGAAGAAATCACATGGATGCAGCTGCTTTTTCAATGAACTTGGCTAGTTTCACATCTCTTTTGGTCAGCCCACCACGGTCATGTGAAGTGAGAGTTACTTGGACCTAAGAGAGAGGAAAGTAGTTTTTAAAATCCTGACTGTAATTCAGGATATTCTCCTTGAGTGGTTCAGAAATCAATCTTTTATTCAACATTCATATTTGAGAACTGCAGAGATTAAATGACTTAGAAAATACATTATGAATAAACAAGCATTTCCAAAATGCTGAGCACTGAAGACACAATCTGCATTCACCCAAACCCAGAATCTGCCCAGAGAGAAAAAGGTTCTATGATAGGAGGAGCCAATTCAGCTGCCAGAATCCAAATATTCTTCCTTAAAGAAAAAAGAGAGAGACTGAGGTTCCATTTCAATTACCATTACTTTAATTATACCAACTATTTTCAGACCACTTGTAAAAACCAACCTATCAAATGCAGTATCTTAGCAGTACTGTTTAAAAAACACACTTCCAGGGACCAGCAGATGGCGTAATGATTATGTCACTGGATTCCCGTAATCCACCATGATTCAAGTCCCAGACTCAGCAGCTTAAAACATGCTGTGCACATGTGCGTGCATGCCCAAAATCCCAAGAGGAGAATGGAGAAGGGACTGTGGCATGATCATCCCCCAGGTGGCGATTTCTCACTTTCTCTCTCTCTCATGAACACACTTGCCCTATAGCAAAAATTTCTCTGAAAATTTTTTAAAATAAATAAGAAGCACACTTCCAAATTATGAAATGGCGGAGGGGCAAGGAAACCCAATGGAAAGGTGCTGGGTTTGCTTCTGGAGACCACTCTGTGTACAACACGTGCATGCCCATGATCGGGGGTAGCTGAAGCTTCCGGTGAACTGCGGCATCAAGACCCTGTTGAGGGGGTTCTCTCTCTCTTTACCTTTCACTCATGGAAGAAATAAACTTTAAATAATACATCAATAAACTTTAAAGTAGAGCAAGAGAGATATCAAGGCCACAGATACAGAGTCTACTGTTAGTAGATGAAGCCATTAGGAGTTGGATCAGTAATCAAAATAAATTATTTTAAAAAGGGTGGAGCGAGGGGGCTAGCAGGTGGTGTGGTAGTTAAGGGCACTGGATTCCCACATGGCCAACTGTGGTTCGAGTCCCGGGCCTGGCAGCTTACTTTCTCACTTTTCTTCTCTCTCTCTCTCTCTATCCCTCTCTGGTCAAATTAAAATAAATGAATAAATAAAGTTCAATAAAACAATTCTTTAAAAAAAAAAAAAAAGGATGGGACAATACGAGAGAACAATATTTGATTTCATAAGTTAAGGTCTGAAAAGAAATAAAGTCTATTGGGACTACCAGATGGCATAACAGTTACGTCGCTGGACTCCTACATGGCCAACCATGGTTCGAGTCCCAGATCTGGTGGCTTGAAACTCATGCCAGGTGCGTGTGCGTGAGTGTCCAAAATCCCAGGAGCAGAATGGAAAATAAGGGATTGTGGCACAGTCATCCACCCTGGGGAGTGATTTCTCACTTTCCCTCTCACTGTTTCTGTCCCTACCCTTTCTCTACCTCCCCCCAAGCACATGTGCCCTAGGGCAAAAACATCTTTTTGTTTTTAAAAAAAAAAAAAAAAGGAAAGAAAGAAAAGAAAAAAGAAATAAAATCGGGAAAAAAACATTTTTTTTTTTTAAAAAAAAAAAAAAAAGAAAGAAAGAAAAGAAAAAAGAAATAACATCTATCAAGAAAATAAGTGAAAATCGACTTTGAAAATGAAAAATAAGGGAAAAAAATTTGAGTCTGTTTTGTTAGGCCCTAATCCTAGTATTCTAGTGACTCATAAGCTTCTGATGCCAGTGTAGATACCTTCTACTTCCTGGGTCCTAGGCTCTGTCAGAGTTTGTTCAATGGACCAATTTCTAATTGCCCAAGATACTCTTCAACTGACTTTCTTTTTGTAGTGGAGTGATTTTTAAAAGACTATAAAATTCTCATTTCTTATCATGTGTCATAAAATTAGCATATAATTCTCGTGCTTCCTTTAAGTTGTAGGGCCTTCAAGACTTGAGACTATGCCTTTTCATTAAATAAATGAATAAACTGTAAAAAAAATTTAATTAATAAAATACCCATGGGGGGGCACACTTACAAATTACAAAATGGAGGGGATGGGCACGGCACCAGTAAACAACAAATGGCATCTCTTTGCCAAATCAATTAAAAAGCAAAAGCAGCCCAGCCAGTGGTAATGGTGGTTGGGCTACTGGATTCCACATGACCAACTGTGTGGTTCGAGTCTCAGACCTGGCAGCTTGAAAAACATACTAGGCACATGTGTATGTGCATGCCCAAAATCCTGAGAAGAGAACAGAGTAGAGGGGATGGCCAGCTCCCTGAGGGGTGATTTCTCACTTTTCCTGTCTCTCTCCCTCTCTCTCTCTGTCTCTGTCTCTCTGGCGAGTGCATGTATTATATAGTAAAACTAAAGGGAAAAAAAGCAAAAGCTGAGAAGTAACTATAAAGTTTCTCCTGATATCAGAGCACTTTTAATTATTCTAAAAATTCACAAGAATATAATGAAATTCTTTTTCAAAGAGAAAATAAAACCTCACAGATACCTAGATGTTAAGAAACACCAGGGCCAGCAGGTGGCATGGTGGTTAAGGCGCTAGACATTCCCACATGGCTGACCATGGTTCAAATCCTAGACATGGTGGTTTGCTTTCTCACTTTCCTTCTCTCTGTGTGTCTTTCTTTCTCTGGTCAAATCAAAATAAATGGATGAATAAGTAAAATTAAATAATTCTCTTTTTAAAAAGAATTATTTACTTAATTTTATTTATTCATCTTTTATTTTTAATTTGACAAAGAGAGACGGTGGGGGGGTGAGAAAGCAAGCCACCAGGTCTGGGACTCAAACCATGGTCGGCCACATGGGAAGGTCCAGCGCCTTAACCGCCATGCCACCTGCTGGTCCCAATAAATTTTTTTTTTTTTGAGAGGTTTTTGCTATAGGGCATGTGCACTTGCCAGAAAGACAGAGAGAGAGAAAGCAAGAAATCATCCCCCAGGGGGGATGGCCATGCCGCAATCCCTTCTCCTTCATTCTTCTCTCAGGATCTTGGGTACACATGCACAAATGCCAGGGGTGAGCTTAAGCCACCGGGTTTGGGACTCAAACCACTGTCAACTACATGGGAGTCCAGCGACACAGCAATTATACCAACTACTGGTCCCCCAAAAAATAATTATTAAAAAAAGAGAGAGAAAAGAAACTCCAAATGATGTGACCATAAAGGCAAGGGCACTTTTGGTGGGAGATGACTCTTCTTACTCTGCCTCCTAAAACTTTGTAGTCTGCCCTTGCTTAAGTAAGGTCAGTTCCCACTGAAGATAGAGAAGTTAAGAAACAGTTATTAATTAAAGTACAGTTCTCTGTTTCAATGAGATTCATAAGACCATATATATCCTATCGTTACAATTTGTATCAATAATTTACCCTAAATTTGTTAAATGCACTCACAGGGCTGATATTCAAGTCTAATTCGGGGGCCTCCTCCGGCCCGTCTTTTACTTTCGTAACACACAAGCACGAAGACAGCAGCAGATGGTGTCATGGTTACGTCACTGGATGGCCACGCAGCCTCGTCGAGTTCCGGACCCAGAGGCTTCAAAGACGCTGGGCGTGTGCATGTGTGCTCAAAACTCCCGAGAAGAGCATGGAGGAGAAGGAACTGAGGTGTGGCCATCCCCCCAGGGGGTGATTTCTCACTTTCTCTCTCTCTCTCTCTCCAACAAGCACATAGGCCCTATAGCAAAAATCTCTTTAAAAAAAAGCATGAAAATACACAGCTCATTCACTGTTTTTATGAGTACACCTGAAAATTCGTTACTAATTTGCAGTAATACAAAGGGATTCTGAGAGAAAAGGTTAAGCGAAGACCTTTTTTTCTTTTTTAGAGTGTTTTAGCTATAGTGCTAGTGTTAGTGCTACATGAACTCGCCAGAGAGACAGAAAGACAGACAGCCAGAAATCACCCCCAGGCGGAATGGCCATGCGGCAGTCAGTTCTCCTCCATTCTCTTCTCAGATTTTGGGCATGCACACACATGCGCCAGCCACTGGGTCCGGGACTTGAACCAAGATCAACTAGGTGGAAGTCTAGTGATGTAACCATTATGCCATCTGCTGGTCCCAAGAGAAGACTTTCTTAAGCACAATGACATTTAACTACGTAAGACGACGAGGGTAAAAGAGAGAAGTTCCTTAAACTCATGATTGAGGTGATCCCCAAATAAGGCAACGAGTTACCTTGTTGTACACGTTGAACCACTCCGGGTGATGATTCATCTTCTCCGCTTGGAGGGCAACTCGAGTCATAAAGCCAAAGGCCTGTGGAAGATGAAGTCAAGAGTAATTACTGACACTGTCCTCCACCCTGGGCCTGAGAGAGACACCAGAGTAATCTAACCAGACAAAGACACATGAGGACGCTGGGGGAGCTTGGTGAAAGGCGATAGGAAGGGTCGCTCTGCAGGCCTGGTGCAGCAAAGCAGCAGGACTGTGACCTGTGCTCCGTGGTGAAAAACAATCAGGCTCCAATAAACAAACCAGGAAATTGGTCTCACCCAGTGACCTGTCTGGGCTGTTTAATTGTCCTCAGGACTAGACTCTCCAAAATAGCATGGGAATAATTTCCCTTTACCCAGGACCCTGGGCCTCACGACCTAGCCTAAACTTTAGGGGCCACTTTCTTGCAGCCCTGGTCCCTTCTGCTGTTAGTGCAGGAGTAGCTAATGAAGGCACCATCCCCAGACTAAGGAAGAGGTCTTCTGAGTGTCTCCAGCAAAAGCGCTGGCAGAAATAAACCTCCTTGTCCCACCTCTCAGGCACAGCAGGAGGAAATAAACGACTGTTCAAGGCTGTCTGATCAGGTCTTGCTACCGCCTGCACTGCCATGTAAAGGTGACAGTGCCTCCGCCTCTGGGCAGAAGGCAAGCTAGGAGACAAACGGGGGGACAGACACCCCGGTACAGGCCTGTCTACCTGCGGCCTTGTCTTCATACCATAGGGAGAGTGAAAACATGCACTGAAGGCAACCTTGTCCTGAAAAGAAAAAAAAAAAAAGTTCTGGCTTGCTTGCTTTCAAATTTTTATGAGGATAATTGCAAACAAAAGGAAAATCTGTCTCTATTGTGTCCAGAAGGCGGAAATACTTGGTAAGACTCTAAGGTAATGGCACATTAATTACAAAGTTACAGTGGAATTAATGGGGCAGTAGCTATTACACCCACATAAATAAATATTTAACTTCACTACCCCTACCCAGGAAAACCAATCCGATACTAGTTGGGCTGTTTTTTTGGCTCACCAAATTTCCTAGTTAACAGTGAGATACACAAAAGATGACTTTTTAAAAGACTATGTGTCATTCGTTATGGATCCTATCTCAGAATCAATTTTACTTGGGATAAAGGTTTTCATTTTGAAAAATACAGCCTCACAGAAATAGAGAAATGTAGAAGAACATCTGAACCCTGGGAAGCATGGAGGGGTGGGAACAGAGGGACACTGACCCACAGGAACAAAACTGCAGATAGAAAGGAACAGGGACCAGCAGATGGCATCAGGGCTATGTCGCTGGACTCCCACATAGCCGGCTGCAGACCTGGAGGCTTAAATCTCACACCAGGGGAGGATGCACGCGTGCCCAAGATCCTGAGAGGAGAATGGACAAGGGATTGTGACGTGGCCATCCCCCAGGGAGTGATTTCTCACTTTCTGTCTCTCTGTCTCTGTTTCTCTGGCAATCACACGTGCCCTATAGCAAAAGTCTCTCTTAAAAGAAAAGAGAAAGAAAAAGAAGGAACATCCGGGTCATAAAATACAGTGGAGAGAATGTATCAACTATGAAGTACTGTATATAGTGTTACAAGTGGCTGGGACCATGGATATAATTACTCCCCACTTACACACACTTTATATTCGTATCCGAAAGCCTCTACTGTAATAATTGCTGTTAATAAAAAGTTACTTTAAGAAAAAGATTTCTACTTTGACTTTTTTTTTAAAAATTATTTTATTTAACTTTATTTGTTTATTTATTTTAACTTGACCAGAGAGAGACAGAATGAGGGGGGGTGAGGGAGAAAGAAAAGTGAGAAAACAAGCCACCAGGTCTGGGACTCAAACCGCAGTTGGCCATGTGGAAGTCCAACGCCCTTAAACACCACGCCACCTGCCGGCCCCCCATTTTGACATTTAAGGTGAGGAACTTTTTCCTGTTAGGAAAAAGAATGAAGTTCAAGGAAAATCCATTTTTTAAAAATAATTATTTATTTATTTAATTCCATTTGTTATTATTATTATTTTTTTCATTTGACCAGACAGAGACAGAGAGAAAGAGAAAGGGAAAGCGAGAAAGCAAGCCACCAGATCCAGGTCTCGAACCATGGTCAGCCATGTGGGAATCCAGCACCTTTATCCACCACACTACCTGCTGGCCCAGCAAATCCATTTAACTATGTATGGAATTTTCCACGGAAAGACAACAGTCATTCTCTCAGTTCTTCTCATTTCATAATCCGATTCTCTGGGTTGTATGAAGGGAGGGGACAAGTCAGATATGAAAATCTATTTTAATTATTCAAGCACAGAGTTGACCCATATTAAATGATGTATAATGAAAATGTCTATTCTGTCTATAATGCCTTATTTGAGTAGCATAGATGAACAAGATATTTTTTCTCATTTCCCTTTTTATTTAATCAAAGACTGGTGGATAAACATAAATACAGCACAATAACTTCAGGTCATTCTTCATATTGTATACACACAGACCAATGAACATAATCTGAAAGCAACTTGCAGTCAGCAATGAAATGCAGATAAATTTTTCTTCCTTCCCTCAAAAAAAAAAAATTTGTTTTTGGGACCAGCAGTTAGCGTAATGGCTATGTCACTGAACTCCCATGTAGTCGACCACGGTTTGAGTCCTGGAACCGGTGGCTTAAAATC